CAGGTTCTGTGTCACCTCTTGGTGGCTAAACTGGCTGCTGGGGCTCCTGTAAGTAATCCAATGGAAGCAGGATAGAGGAACAGATGTACTAAGATTAAATACTTCAGAGATACTTTGAGAGTGACAGGAGTGTTGTGGAAATAGTCACATTAAAAAAAGAACCAAATTATTTAGCAAGAATGGCACCTCCTGAAGCTCTATCCCAAGTGTAGTATATAAAACAACTCTGAAGATTGAGTTGAGATCCCTTTCCTTTGTGGATCTCCACCTTTGCTGTTTCCAGGGAGGTCTGCTCCATGAGGGGGACTGCTGGGATAACTAAGGAAAATAAGTCACATGAAGCAGCAGTTTTGACATTTGTCCTCACTGGTATAATTTATGAGCACCACATTTGATAAAAAGATGTTTTAAACTCCCATGCTCTGCCAGGCGAAATCAGCAGGAAATGAAAGCAAGAAGAGATTTTTGTATGGTAAAGATTTTTGTATGGTAAAAAATACCCAAATTGACAGTCTTTCTGAAATGCTGTGAATCTCCTTTGCTTTCTTTTATCCATTGCCCCTCTATTCCTTGGAGAAAAAAGGAATTCCAGTATTGGAACCCCATAAATCACAGTAACTATTCTTTTACACTTGTCATCTGTCCACACATCTCAGTGTTTTATTTCTACTGTTTTGCTGTAATTGTGGTAGGGAGGAAAACCTAGCATGATTGGGAAGTCATGGTTTTCACTTTAATTTGTTAATGGAAAGATTATTTATAGTGTTCTAGTGTCCACAAGAAAGCCAGAATTTTTAGTATTGCTACTACCATGGCCTTGCTTAAAATAATGTTAGTGGGCACCAGCCTTTGTGCTCTCTTGGTCTAACAAATAATGCTGAATGGAAGCACTTTACTGGTTAGAAGGCTTGCCTGTTCCAGGAGATGGGTTTTGGGCAGTACAGACAATCAAGTTCCCCTTATCATCCCACCTCATGCCCATAGTGTCAGCAAGCCTAGTGAAATGCTTGCAAAGGGAAAGGGACTATGTGCTCCTGCTAGACACAGAGTGCATGTTGCACCATCAGCTAGGGTGCTAAACTAGCTCAAGATCTTTAAAATATATTTACATCTACACAGGGAGGGAAAAACAGCCTCAATCCTCTCACCCCCCATGTTCAAGGGCTGAGTTGGTTACAGGTGCTGCCAGGAGGAAATGAAATCGTGCTGTGTGTAATTAAACAGGGATTGCTTTGGGTTCTTCCATACCACGTCTGCTCCTGCTACTACATACCAGGTCTACCCATGTAAGAGGGTGTACAGATTGTTTATACATTAAGGCCTAAAGAAGATGTATGGAAATGAGATGGGACTTGACAGTGAGATTGGAGTGTGCCTGAATGGCTGCTGTGTCTTTACTCTCTGACACAACATGGCCAAGCATGAGACCTCACACAGGGCTCCTAGGAGCTACCAGAGGAGCTCGGGCCCTTGCTATGGCCTCTATAAAACTGCAATCGAAATATAAACTTTCACACCATACAGTAACAGATGCAAGGGTGAAACTACCACATAAAAGGTGAAGAGGCTACAGAAGAACCTGCAGAAAAAAGAGATATCTCTACTAGAATGTGAAAGAGAAAAAAAAATACAGTAAGATCTCTAAAATCTTTTGTGGAAGAGGTTCTAATTACTGAGACATTACTAATTTGTGACCAAAATTAGCCCCACCTAGAAGTATACTTATAGGATGCCCATGGAGCTGATGAATTGCTCAGTTTCTCATTGGCAGAGCTGCCCCTTCAGGCATGAGCTGTAGCTTCCTTTTACTCCCATCAGTACCGAGTACTAAAATTACTACTCTTGTGGAACACAGAAAATGAAACATACAGATCTGATGTGTAAGACTATATTGAGAGATTTGGCAGCAAGAGTTTTATTTATATTTCTGGAGGTTTTAATGGAGAACATAATGTGCTGTCCACAGATCACCCCTCTACTGTTGGTCAGTCTCATTTAGGAAGGTAGATGTAGATGGCAAGATAGTAATGGATGGTATCTCTTCCTATAAATGTGGTTCCAGTAATAGCATAATTAATGCAGTTATTAAATAATGCAGTTCCAGATACAACAGTCAAATTTTTCCTTATAGGTAAGTGTTTATACACGCGTCCTGTTTATTTTTGTTTAAATATCTTTGAATCTTGTCCATTGCTTCTTCATTTCTTGTACGGCCACCTGAACTCAGATCTTTCTTTTCCATGGCTTCAGATCCAGATAAATCCAACAGAAAGAGAGACAGAGAGAGTGAGAGAGAAAATTGTATAACCAGAAAACATGAAGTAAATAAGCAAATTAAGATTATTATAAAAGTGGCTTGACTTACCATTTTACACGAGCAGAATGATCATCAAAGGATTTAACTCTTAGTGGCAATGGGAGTAAGGATGTTGTACAGACTCTCCTCATGTCAATGATGCTTTGGATTGTCTCATGCCTTTTCTCCCTGGGTCACAGGGAGAATGGGAGTGTCTTGGTGTTAGGAAGGAATTTCCTCTCTTGTTCCTCCTGACTTTTCTGCTTGTTATTTATGAGATCAGTCTTTCTTCTTTCAAAATTATATGGATTTGTTGATATCCTCATAAATTATGAATCACCAAAAGTATTTTCCTATGGCATTTCACAAAAACTACTGTGAAACTTTAGGTTGGAAAAAAAACCCAGGAACTATTGGGGTGGAAACACATTTATTATTTTTCAGAATAAATACCAGCAACTTCATCTCTGTATATGGCTGTTACACGAGTGGTATGCATGACTGCTTGAAATTCAATCTACACACTTCAGTATTTCTGTATATACTAAAGGTGAGAGCCACAGATACATGAGCCTGTGAAGCTCCAAAGATGCACATGTAGAAAGTGGATAAATGCAGCAAACTAGAGGAAGTCAGAAGCAGTAATCTTCTAATGGACTTATTAAAACAGAGGGTGCAGTAGGAGAAGAAAAAACCCAAGCTGTAAAGCTTTCCTTTGCTCTGTTAATAGCATAAAAATATTATGGGATTTTTAATACATTTTTTATTTTTTTTTCTTTTTAAAGATAAATCCTCTTATTCATATACTCATATAGAGATTTTCTGTAATTTCATCATATGTTAAAAATGTGCTCCTGTCAGTTAATTCTCTCTTCCCAATCACAACCTTACAGTTTTATTATGTTACTAATAAAATTGCAGGATACACTTTCTAGTAAGATTGGGAGACTTTGAACATATTAGCAAGTCACCTCCTTCTAATTCTTTTCTTGGTTTTTGGGAGGGTAATCTAGAATGTGAAGATCAAGCAGTGAGTGTACCCTTGTCCTGTCCATGATGGTGGGACAAAAATGAGAGACCCCAGATCTTCTGGCCCCAAGTTTTGTACCTTGTCTGTAGACAGTCTTTCACTGCTGAGTCAAAAATATGAAATTTGGTTTGGAAGAAGAAATTGCAAAACAAGGTCTTTGCTCATCTAAACATCTGCTTAGCCAATAACCACAGCCAGTTTTTTTAACAGGACACTGCTTGGGTCATTTCCATGACTATATTGAGCATTTAGGCTCCTCTTCATATTCTGAGCAGAGACCTGCGAGCTGAGTGTGGTACATGAACCTCTGCACTGCTTTGGGGCTCCACAGCCTCCAAAGGTAACCACTGGTGTCATTTTATACTGTCTGTGCCTTAGCAATGGAGGCTGGGGATTCCATCGGGTGATGCTCAGTGAGCTGGAACCTGTTCTGTGGCTACGTGGCTCTATGGGAGCCTCTGAGAGCTCTGTTATTGACCTCACTGGTGTGGAGATTTCACTTCCAACAAAGATCAGGCCAAAAGGCACTAGATACAGTTTTTAAATGAAATCTTAAAACACAAGACTCCTTCTCATGGCCTCAAATTTTAGTTTAAACCGTTTCAGGTTATTTCTTTGTGCTGTCAGAAAGTATCATTCTTAATCCTGAGGTAATGATTTTACTTCAATTTAGATGCCTGATATCATCTGCCATCTTTTTAACTTCAAATATCAAGTGTATTTTCATTGCATCTCTTGCACAGGCTATCTATGCATGATGCTATGCAATGAGGAGAAATAAAATGTGTGATTTTTAAATTATTCTTCTGCTCTTCTATTTTTTCATCTCCAGATGGTCTCTGAGACTGGTGATGTTTTCTTTAGGCTATAGATTTTCTGCTTTAATTAACTTACTTAATCAGCACGCATTTGAGAGACACACATGTGATCAGATAATATCAGGTGCTAATATTTAAATCCTTTCATGAAATTAGAGGCAGATAAATGGTTGAATCATAATTGAATGATCTTATTAGACTACAAGCTGATCAGTGTTAAAATGAAATTTGAGATTACCATTTTGCATTCATTTCACATTGGCTGGGCCTACAGTAAGGACTGGGTACAATGTGATTGCTGGGTTAGGGAGCAAGACCAGATCTGCATGACTGAGACCTGTCATACATTTTTATCAGCTGAGGGACTGGCACAATATTTATCAGTACCTAAGAGCAGTGAAGGTAACTAATGTTTTGATGTACCACCTCCCAAGCTAAAAAATGCAGCAAATAGCCCTTTTTATGTGTTATATTGAAATAAGCAGTCTCTCTTTCCATCCTGTCCCTCCCCAGTGTGTGTGTGCTTGTGAAGAAGGACAGGCAGTCATCAAAGCATCTATCACCTCAGGGACTCTGCTGGGAATCAGGTAGTTATTGCTGGGAGCAGTGGAGGTTTGACACATACTTGTATGGATGAGCTGGCTGGAGCAAGTCTGGGGCTTGTACGAGATTCAAAGATTTTTATTGCTTGGTGAAAGATCTGAGCAAATTTGAGTGAAATTCTCAGAATCTGCACCCTCTCAGTGTGTTTTCCCAGATGGCTATCATTAGCTGAGGAATGGGAATTCTTGGTTTTGGCATGGCCATAATGATTTTACTTGGGTGTTAGGATGGAGAGGAGTCATGCAGTACTTACAGGATCCCTTTTTACAAGGCCTGGGTTAGGAACGACAGCAATGAGGTGGGCAATTGTAAACATGGAGTTCAGCACATAGGAAAAAAACAAATTCTTATGCAGTGTTATCCTTTGACAGCTGAGGCTCCTGAAAAATATATAACACATGTCGTGTAAATTAGTATTTTTCCTGTGATGTCACTTTAACAAGCTCTTTCTGGCAACAGTCTCTCAAGAATGTCTTTTGGCAAGACATAATTGGAAAATACATGACTTGCATTGCAGCCATAACCTCTGAAAAATTTTTGGGTTTGTTTTTACACCTGTTTAGCACCACATGCTTTTTAGACCGTGTTGGAAAGACCCATCCAGCTACATTCTTAGCTCTTGATGCCTTTCTTTAATTCATGGTAATTGAGATATTAAGTGGTGAAGCAGAACCCTGAGAATTTTTGGATGTGCATGATACAAGTAATGAATATCAGGAATAATGCTTTATAAGTAACCGTTCCCTGGAGACTCAATTTCTCAAATACTCAGATGAAAATTATTTTCTACTTCAGGAATTAGTAGTGAAACAGGATGGGAATTTGGGCAGAAGTCTCCTTAAATTACAGGGGGATTTGGGTTGGTATCCTGCATATTTCTAACTCCAGCTGAGATCTCAAACCAGAACAGGTTGTTTTCTTGCTCAGAGGAGAAGAAATCTCTTAAAATCAGTGGTTTTAGGGAGGGTAGGACTTATGCTATTGTGGGTAGCAGAATTTCACAAGATAAGATTTCAGAATTCTTGTGAAACCAAATCATGACTGCAGTTTCACATCTCCCATTTCTAATTCATACCTAAATCCTCATGTCACCTCCTCATACATCCCTGAGGCAGAGAAAAAGGCCCCTGCAGCTCTCCATGCCCAGAGCATAGCATTAGGATGACACAGGGGGATTGCAGAAAGGCAGTCATGGAGCTGTTAGATAATGCTGTGCTGTCCAGTGGCCACTGAGAGCAAGAAGGCAAAACTGCTAGGTAAGGAACAGCTGAGAAATACTGCTGTCTTGCTGGGGTAAGCTCAGCACCAGGAGTCTTTTGCAGTCTGGAATGGAGACTGTGGCTGTGGCTTTCTTCTCCTCTGCATATGGAGGCCAATGCAGAATGCACTTCCTTCAAAAGGAGAAAGCTAATCTAGCCAATTGAACTCTCTTCTGCTTATTTTCCTTGCTTCCTTGATTTATTTCCCTTCTTTAGCCCCTTGGTCACCTGCCATTTATTCTTTTTTTCCTTACTCCTACTTTCCAAGTCATTGCATGAAATTCTTCCTTTAGCTTGAGTTCATCTTTCTTGTTATGGTTATCAGTATCCAGCAATGCTTATCACTTCTTTTGACCTACTTATTTATCAAGTCACCATCTTTGGCTCAGGATGTCCATAAGATGCAGATCCTGGTGGCTAGAAATGAGAGTATCTCTGTACACTTTGCCCTGATTTTATAGCCTTCCTTTAGCATCAGCTATTGGCAAATATTGAGCACCAGATACAGAGCTGGGTTCATGAACTTTCGGTTTGATTCACTGTAGGACATGGTATTGGAAAAAACGGACCATTCTTTGGAGCTATTTTTGCTACACTATGTTCTTGTGCTTATTTCCCCTGTATTTGTTCCCATCACAAATCTAGTCTGATGTTCCTTTGCTGCTCCTAAGCTCTGGTGATATTTATTCAGTCCTGAGTCTTCCTTTCTCCCCATACTCCATCACAATACTTTGCCTACGCCACTTAACCCCACTTTTTTTGGGATGCTATGACATGCGTATCACTCTCTGTCTTCTTGCAGCCCTGGGAATAGCACTGGTGTGACATCAGCTCTGTTCCCAAGAAATAAGAATTTCCTTATTACTGGGAACAATCTCTTCAGCTCCTGGCCACAGAAATGCAGACCCTTGTCTCTCCAGGTGCCTTTCTATGTGGTTTCCAGTACAGAGAGTCTTTTGTGATAATCTTAGTCAGGTAGATGTGTCTTAACTCCCGTCCCTGTCCTTCCTCATTGCTCTACTTGACTTTTGGCAGTCTTTCTCATCTATTAAATTGGACAGTCCTTCAGTACATGTTGCCTTTGTTGCTGCCCAGGCTCCTTTCCCTTCCTGCCTCCCTCTCTTAGTTTTACTTTCTCTTCCTTTTCCCTCAATATTCCACTTTTTCCTTGATTGCAGCTTTTATGTTAAAAATCCACCTGTAACATTAGTGTTTCTTTTCATTCCCTCACTTTCTAATTTGACCTTCAGTGTTTGCTGTCACAATGGCATTGACATCTGCCTGATGTGGTCCACACCAAGAGGAGAAAGTGGAACTAACCCTACCTTGATTCATCCTTTCTGCTGGTTTTGACAATCATTTGCAATCTTCTCCTTCTCTGACCTGTTTTAGCTCTCTTCCTGGCCCTTTTCGTGTTATTAATGATATTTTTGTGATGTTTTTGAAGGTTCCTTGGCATTGTCCCTGCCATCTTTCTGTATTCTCCTTACTCTGCTTCACTCTTGGGCACCCAGGAATGGTGCTGTGCAGGGCCAGGAGCTGGACTCGATCTTTGAGGGGCCCTTCCAACCCAATTTACTCAGTGATTCTGTGTGATTCTGATAAATCAGTATGCAAGAAGGCGTAACTAAGTCAGTTATCTGTGTCTAAAACTTGTGAGCTTTTTGTGTTTCCAAGCCTCTATCCACTTTCTCTTCAGAGTTTCAGAGTCTCATAGGTTTTCTGTGGCTGCCCTGTGTTTCACATTGATTCTGTCTCCTACATTTCCCTTTTCAAGGATAGGTTCTCTTATCTACTCACAGTCACCCTTTACAGTTCCTATCTCTACTTCTCTATTACAATTAGAATATTTTCCTCACAGAACTGTGAGTCTGTCATTTTTCTCATGCATGAATATTGAGAATACTGATTTTCACGCCTAGACACATATTTTCCTCTTCTCCCCCATTGTTTAATTATAAAATTATTTTCATGCTTTTTACCATGTTCTCCCTTGCCCCTGGGGAAAACTCCCAAAAATTTCACAAAATGTCCTTCTATCCATTACCCTTCAACTCCTTTTAAAAGTCTTGGCAGCAATTAGACTGCAGGTGCATTCATAACACAACATCTATTATTCTGGCAAATATAGACTTGTTGTACTCTCCATCTGTCTTTGTTTTAATAATTCAATTGGACGTGATTTGAAGCTAGGAGTACCTCTCTTCTTTTGTGTTTTATTAAATAAGATAATGGGGTCTCACTCTGCAATTACAGAAATCATGCAATAATGTGATGATGCATGAAGCTGTTAGACATTCTACCTTATTAATACTTTCTCCTGTTATGAGGTAGCATTGCTTAGTGATGCTCATCACTACTGATTCGTTATTCCTTTCTGAAAGTACTGCAACATCTATGATGCCAGATCATCATCAGATGCAGTGGGAAACTGCAATCCCTGCAAGCTGCCTCTAAAGTCAAAGGCTATTATACAGTCCTGAAATCATCTCTTGCTATCTGATGGACTGTCTGATTGACAGCTTCCCTTCAGCTGAAGGTCAAATATTTATTGCTGTCATAGCCAGATGATGAAAACAGCTGAAAGTTATATGAGCCCTGCTCCCACATAGCTTCATTCTCACTTTCCTATGATTGTAGTTTGGTTTACTCTTTGTCCTCCCATTATGAAGCACTTTGGTTTAATTCCTTTCCCTCTTCTCCCTGTAACCTTTGTGTCATGGCTTAGTCATGGAAGGGGAGGGAGCAGCGGAGGAGGAAAGAGAAGAGGAGGTGTATTGCTGTCTGGAAGGATGCTGCAAAGCCCAGTCTTTCAGTGCAGCCTGGGACCAGCCAAGATCATGTGCTGTTCATGACTCAGAGCTCAGAGTGACTCAGACAGGCTGACCCTGCCTCGCTCACTGCAAGGAGTCACCTTGCTGCTCCATTTAGCATACCTAATTTGACCAGATCCTGTCTTCACTGTCCCAAAGAACTCAAACCAGAGCATGGGGTTCCAAATCAGATAAAACTGTGCTGTTTCCAGTTCTTTCCAAGCATTACTATGGCTGTGGTTTTGTGCTATTTATCTGCTTAAATGGGAAGGGAATTCATCAGTTCATTCGGCAGAGCTTCTAGTTATCTCTGTATCTGATTAAGATGTGTTATCACAGGCACTCATCAAATTGCCTCTTTGGAAATTATCAGAATTCACAGCCTGTATATTTGGAGTTTGCAATCTTACAGAATCTTGTAATTTATGCAAAGTCCAACCATTTAATTTTCCAGTGTTTCCTAATCTTATTCTTGCGGTGGTGATGTTGGGGGCTTGATCTTTTGCTACTCTTTCTGTTTGACAGTTGAGGCAGAGGCATCTAATTGACAGTAGACAATTTCACTGAAGAACAAGATTGAAATGCTCTAAGCTGCCATACAATAGTTGTAGTGCTTTCAGTGAATATCAGTCTAATTTCCTTTAAAATTCGGATACAGCACATCTCTGTTTTTCCTTTTAATGAAGATAACAGGCTGCACACTAGTGCCAGATTCACTCTTAGGACTGAGTCTGTGAGCACCTACTCATGTCAATAGCTCAGTCCTTCAGCCTCAGATGCAGGTAGTCCTGTTCTTCAGGAGATTGGAGCTCCTGGTCACTGCCCCATGAGGTCACAGCACCTGGCAGGCTCTGGACATGGTATTCAAGGAACATAAGGCAATAGGTAAATAAAAGGCCTTCCTGCATCCCCAGCTGCACCATTTCCCCATAGGCTGCACTTTCACATCAGTCCTGACAAACATAAAAACATGGTCTTGGCTACACTCCATTGAGAGTGGTCCCATTGGTGAGAGGAGCCTGAGCTCAGACTTCTTTATCAGGATTATATAAAAAGACACTCAGAAGGGCTGCTTCTCACTGCCATGACACCTTCCAAGATTTCCTGTGGTTGAGATGCCTTAGGGGAAAGAAGAGAGAGTGTCTGTAGGAAACACTTACTTGAAATAGAAGAAAATTGCCAAGGAAATCAACAGGGATGTTATAGATAAAGCATGGCCCACGATTGCCATATAATAAAGTATGAACGCCATCTGCAATTCAACAAAAAGAAAAGGCAAGCATGAAAAGGTTGCAGGCACTCTGTTTGTTTTCTCATTAAGGAAGAATCTACAAAATCAACCTCCTGTTTTGTATTTTTTCTTCTTTCAAACATTCTTTTTCTATAGATTTTTAACATCAGCAATCTATTAAATAGCATGACTCATGATCTAAAGATAAGTGTTTCTTACATATGTGGATCTGTTCCTGATATATTGAAGTAAGTGGTGAGATCTCTGCTCTCACTGTGTCAATAACTTTCCTAAGCTCTATGAGAGTGAAGCAGACATATACATTCAGATTTTCAATAGACCTATGACAAGTTCTCACACATATGCAAAAAAAAAATTATTGAATAAACCAGGTTGCTGCATTGTTGGTAGAAAACTTTTATGGGTTGAAAGCAGCTTAAACAACAGGGATCAAAAGCTCAGTGGTCACTTTTGGAGATGAGTCAGTAGTTACCTGCCCTCAGGAGTTGTATTAGGGCTGAGTTTTTGTTCAATGTATTCATCAATGACCTGATACAGAGAAACTTCCAAATTTCCAGGTGATACTTAGGTCTTCCAGATAACAGTGAGGCATTCACAAAAGGCCTCATTTAACTGAGGGGACAAGAAGATGCCATATGAGCTTTAATAGAGAAAAAAGTGGGCTAATAGAGCTAGGACATGTAATCTAAATCCTGTCTACACCATGCTTAACTTAAGACTGGAAACCAAACTCAGGAAGGAGATTTTGGAGTCATCCAGGCCAATTCTCTGAATCATTGGCTTACTGTGTAACGATAAAGCCAAAAAGCCAGCAAAATATTGATTATGATAAATAAAGGCACTGAGAGTAGAAGAGCAACATATGTTCGAAATTTGCAACACTAACCTTAAATGCATGTGTGCTTCCAGTCTCCCCATGAATATACAAGAGCAAGGAAAGGTGAGAAAAGGCAACTAAAATAGCTGAGGGTGAGTTTCTGTGAGTACAAAGGCTGGGATTCTCCTTTTTGGAGAGGAGAAGTCAGAGGGGACTTATGACCAAGACCTTCACAGTCATGGAAGCAGCAGATGAGGTGAACATTATCCTCAATGAGCACCACACAAGAACAGCACATCTTGAGACAAACTCTGGTTCACATCAGTGTGAGCCTTAGTGCTGGGCAACTCAGTGCTGTGAATCCAGTACCCATGGACAGATAACTGGGCTTTCACTGTGTCTCATGGCATTGAAATCTAAGAGAGGCTGATCCTTATTTTTTATGCCAGTTGTAAAATAAAATTGCAGGACAGCACCTGGGCTTCAGAATGTTGAGGTATTTAAATGTCACACTTTGGTGTCAGCCAAGCTCTTAAGCATCAGCCATCTGTCAGAGGAGTGAGTGAAGGAGGCTAAATGTCATTCCAGGCTTCATCACTGCCTCCTTTCTGAAAGCAAGGACATAGTAGCAGCCTATCCAGGAAAAAGGACTGGAAGTCTTAGTCCTCTGCTGGGTTTATTTTCTTTTTAGCTCTACTTCATTCATTTTTCTTTTGCTCTGCATAAGAAATTTTACTCTTCTCAGTGATCAGATGAATTACTTTTTGTAGCCTGAAGTTTTGAAACTCAAATCTTTTTGATGTTTCCACATAATTTTAAACTTTCCATTGAGAAGAAATATGAACACAATTCAGAAAACAAAGTCATTCCTCTTAGTAAAGGTGCTCATCTCATATAATTTGGTCTCGAGACATTTTACTACTTTCAAATAAGTTTCTGCATTCATTAACCTAGGTTGGGATGGCCTGATCCAGATTTAAACCAGAGCCACATTTACACTGATCTGACCACGTAGAAGAGACATGATCTGAGTGTAAATACCATTAACCACGTTATGGAAAATGATGCATATTTACTGGAAATACCCTAGGTCTCCTAGTTCTCCTTCACAAAGACTAATCACTGCATTGTTAGTGAGCACAAATGCTTGATAACCTGTTCTGAGAGCACCAGGAATCCCAGGGAGGACAGACCCGAGTGTGGAGAAGTTGAGACAACTTTCCCCAATACAGAGTAGTGGGAGGTTTACCTGTGTGACATTTGTTTCACTTCATACTACATGATTGCTGTGTTTCTTCATGACATTAAATGGATATATTCTTAAAGCCTGAATTTAATTTACAGATGACTTCTTCAAAAATATTTTTTCTACCTATCTTTTATACATCCTATTTCCTGAAATAGCTAGAAGTAGGAAAGATCTCCAGATAGCTACATGCAAGTTTATGTATACCCTGGAGGATTCTTGGTTATTCAATCTAACTTTCTGTTCTCAAGTGCTAAAGCAACTCTATATTTGGGAATCAGCAACTGCTTTTTTTTATTGTATCCTGCAAATTTACTATGCCAAATGCTTTAAAAAGCTTTTCATATATAACAATGATGACAGATCAAAATGAACTGAAATGTCAGCTAACAAAACATATGGTCTATCATTATATTTTCAAGAACTGGCCATAATTTTTTTTCTATGATCTGTCTCAAAAGTATAGCATATTGGTATTTTCAGTTAACTTCAAACAAAAAATGAGCACTTTTACTAATTTCTGCACTCCTTGAACTGGTCACCTGTCATGTCCTTTTGACACACAGGATTATATAACATGCTGACTCACTACATTTTTTCTTCAGATTTTTTATCCTGGATTTAGAAAACTTAAATGTTCTTCCTTGTTCCTCTAGAATTCTTCACTTCAGGAAAGAGAATTCTCTAAGAGTAATGCCTTTGACTCAGTTAATTATATTATGTGTAGGTAAGTGGAAATAGTCTACAAATGAAGCACATTTCTGTTTACTGAGGGCTTGGTTTAAAGGTCATAATCTAACTTGGCATTTCTGTAAAGATATATTCTTTGTGCATTTTCCATAACTTTTCGTTTCAGAAAAATCATGATGTGCATATAATTTTCCCTTGTATTCTATCTGTTCTCTGTGTGAATGATGTTCAAAATTCTTCATCTGGAAGGCATAGGTAATAGGTAACAGAACCACATTTTTGGCCTCCTTACATGTACCAACATCTGAAAAAATTATATACTTGTGTTGCTTACATGTAATGCCTCTGTAAGCTCATATTGTTACTATTATTCTTGCCTTGTCACATAGGTGAGTCTCATTTTACCATGATTGACTGTCATGCTGCAAAAGCCCCTACAATTCACCTCCTGCCGAGTCCTACAGAGTTTTCCAAGGCCCTTTGGGCTGAATTACTACTAAATATACCTGCATGCTGCTTTCTGGCTGCATAAGAAGAGGTCTTTCAACACAAACTCCAAATCAAATCACTTCTTGAATATTTTCCTTCCACTATTCCAAATAGTCACAAATTATTCTGTCACAAATCTGTAATCAGATTTTCCTGGAGCTCTACTTGCATTTGAGAAATATGTTTATTTTTATGAGGTTCCCTAACTTAATTTTTTTAAAGCTTTTCTCTGATTTCTCTCTTCTTATTTCTTTTGTTGCTTTTAGATGTAGTACTTGTCTTTCAGGTTAGCACCTTGATTTTGGAAATATTGATGCAAATGCTTAACTAATTATTGTAAATAGTCTCAATTTCTTCAGTAAAATTCAAAGTTAAATATGTTCATGCTTGTAAGATTTTCTGGATTAATGGTCCCTTCACAAATATTTATTTTCAAAGAGTGTGAGCACAGGGTAATATTCTTTGCTTAAGAAAACTAATTTTCACTTACATTAATATTACTAGCCCTGAAGAGAAGCCATCAACATCTTGGAATATTATTGCTATGGAAAACAAAATTGAGACTCTAAAAGATTGTTTTATAACTGTTTGTCAATCAGGGAAAATCACAGGAATTAAAAATGCATCTGAAAAATACTGCAAAACTTGTCACATGAATTACCACTAAATTATCCACCCCATAGCAAACCAATATTGAGGCTTGAGCACTCACAAAATAATTTGGATAAGCTAAATTCACAAGAACAATGTTATTTAAGCCTTGTGCAACAAAAAAAAGCAGAAAGATAGGGCTATTCTGGTCTGTCTCACATGTATTATTGCTAGCCCAGCCCAAAACATTGCCAAACAACCACTGCCTCTTTAACTTCAGCATACCTTCAGTTTTTCAGAGGTGAAAGAGTTGCACAGGGTGTAGTTGGACCAAGTTCGGTTGCTCTCAGGATGGCGGAACCAATTTCCAGTTTCATCACAGTATTTTGAAGCCCTCTCTGATGATAAATTGCAATAAAAGTTATTTTAACATAAGCATATTATGAATTTAAAAACCCATCTAAAAGAATTTCTTTGTTTGGCAGTAAAATGTCTGTGTAATAAAATCCAGATGATTTTCAACCTGTGTAATTAATATACATCTTTGCTGTTTTGGTTTTTTTCTGAGACTTATCTGGTGGTAAACTTGTTTTGCTGTCTCCTTTTGCACTACGCCCACTAGCATATATGTCTCAGCCTTCATTCAGAAGCAATATTTAGCTGATAATAATCCATTTAAAGAGGCTGTTGATGGCAGCTTAAGGGAGAGAAAATAACCACAGGTGCTGATGCCAGACCTGGAGGAAGTGTGGAGGGTTTCAAGCATCAGGGTTAAATGAGTTAAAAATACTGTGTAGATAAAGGGAAGTCAGTAGTGTATGAAGCAGAGCCTGGGTGCTGGAGGTGCCAACAGCCCCAGTGCAGAGGAGTGGAAAAGTCTCTGCCAAGCTCCCCACTGGTGGAATCCTGACATGCAGAACGGGAGCATCGCCCCCCTCAGGGTCTGCACAGCACGCAGGCACAGAGACAAGCAGCCTCAGAAACATTCTGGCACTGGTCCCACGTGTCCAGTTTAATTTAAGATGGCTGCAGGGTTGTCTGTTTAAATAATCTGATGTGTCTTTGGCCTCTGCACAGGTGTCTCTGGTGCTGGCTCCTTCGCCACAGGTGGCTCTGGTGTCCTTCCCGAATCCCTGCCATATGGATCGTGCTGCTGGCTCGTGCTCCTCTGCACGTCCTTTGCTGTGCTGGGGGCACAGTGGGGCTTCAGCAGCACACAGCCCTGCAGGATGCCAGAGGACACAGTCTCAAACTGTGCCAGGGGAGATATAGGTTGGATATTAGGAAAAACTTTTTCATGGAAAGAATAATAAAGTATTGGATTGCTTTGCCTGGGGAGGTGGTGGAGTCACCGTTCCTGGATGTATTTACAAAAAGACTGGATGTGGCACTCGGTGTCATGGTCTAGTTGAGGTGTTAGGGCATTTGGTTGATGATATTGGAGGTCTCTTCCAACCTAGTGATTCTGTGATTCTGTGTGATTCTATGATGCCTGGAGCTGCAGATGTGCTGTGTCTATGTCCCCCCTGTCAGGCTCACACTCCTGCTGGGGACACTCGGATGCTGAGGTGCAGATGGTCACTTCTAATCACCAGTCAGTTTTGGACCAGTTCCATTAGCCACATGGGAGTCACTGGAATGTTTGCTCAAGTGACAAACACAGGGTAAAATCATAAACTTATAAAATAATGAACAATTGTTTGATGTTTTCTTAGATAGGGACACGGAGACTTATGAAAAGCATGCTTTTAAAGTCTGACTTTTAAAATAGTCTGAAAAGTCTATCTTGAATTTCCTTTGCCTTTTCTAGTTCTATAATTTTATTTGCTTTATACTTAGATTATCAGCATTACCACTCAGTACACTTTTACAGAGCCATAGTCATTTGAACATATACATTTTCAATTTTTGTGACTAACATTCCCACTTACTTTTCTTCATCTGATGATTAATGGTTCTATTAATTTGTAAGATTCATATTCCTAAAGCCTAAAGAAAGGAACTTATCATATGGGTAAGGTAAGGATAGAATAGACTGAGTTATTTTACTCTGAATAGAAATACACTTTATATAATGCCCTTGCAGAAAAAAAAAGAAGATAAACCTCCAGAACACAGCATATTTTTGAAATAATTGTGGATTTCAAATCATTGTTTTGGGGGACTTGTTAAAAATCAATACGTGCATCAACAATACTAAGAGTAACAGTACATGCTATTTGAGCCTTACATGGCTGCAGCTTGGAGATAATCTCAGACTGCCCATGTAGCAGTGTTCCCTTTTACTCATTGCCAGATGCTATCAAAAGCTGGAAAAAGTTTTCAGTCACAGATGAAAGATTAATGGTTATGCTACCATGGAACACAGTGTGCAAGTGTTGCACCGATTATCCCATGCACTCTGCAAAGTGCACGGCTTTTGTTCATCTGCTACAGAGTACGTATGGCAATGTCATCCATCATCTCTGCACTTCAGTGCCTAGGTAGGCTCTCTGCCAGAGTATAACGTGGCCTCTTTAAGTTAGAGACAAACCTTTCACCTCATACTTTTCCTTAAAGTCAGACAAACACTGATCCTACTAAAAACCAATCCTACTCTGAAAGTGCCAATGTCCCATGGATTTCTTGCTGTGAGAATACATAACTGGAGAATAAGCACTCTTTACTGTCCATGCCAGTGGCTCAAACAGGTCAAACCTCTCTTTTAAATCTATTATTTTATACAGAAACAAAGATGCAATCCAACCACAGTTGTACTGCAAGTTATTCTAGAGTGGCCCATTAGCAGGTAGGGGATATTGAACCTGGCCATGTTTTGGTTTGTTGTGCTAAGCAGAAGAATATGGTAAAGTGTGAAAAAATACACATAGGCAAGGATGGGTAAGACAACAGTAGCAAGGTAAAATGGAACTTTGGGCTTTGAGATACTTAGAATACTGTGTAAACACTAATTTTTTTAGGCTCTCTCTGTACCCTATCAGCTTGGAAAGGACACCACTTGGGCATTGCATTATTCAAAGTGGAAGAATGGTAACATCACATTGGACTGATCTCACTTGACTGTAGGAACCTTAAAATTACAGAATTGATAGGCAGCTGTGCAGAATCTCTGCAGTTAACTGAGAGAGATAGACACTTCAAGAACTGTCTGGGCAAAATGGATGAGAGCAATCTCATCCACAAGGGAAGTTTCGTGGGAGCAGTGAAGTGTCTTGAAAGATTAACCAGTAGCAGTTATTTGAATGTGTATTGTTTGTGCCACTAACAGTGCTTTGATGAATCATATGCTCATTAGAAATCCCTCAGTCATCTATATGTAACAAATATCTTAATATCTCTGGAACAACATGATAGCTCTATCAATCAGGCTTTTCACAATTAGACCAGAGCAATAGCTAGTACATGTTAAAGGAGCCAACATCAGTTTTTAGTTTATTGCTGTGTTAAAAGATAAAAGAAGGAAGAAGTTATTCCCTGTTGCAGTCATGCTCATACCAGACACTGGATTCTTTGCCATTGTTTGGAGAGACCTGTGCAGTGCTTAGTTTTGCATATGAAAGAATAGTTGATGTTGCACATCTGATTTATTTACATCTTTGGTAAAATATTCTGGAAGAAATTTTTTCAGAAATGAAAAAAATAATCTCATATAATGCAGTGAAGACCCTAGAAAACTTAAATTCCAATGTCCTGGTAAATGAAGGATTATCACTGTCTTCAGAGTGTCTTAGTCAGCAGAACTAGAATCTGTAGAAGAGTCATATTAAGCAGTATGAGGATAGGAATTGATTTTTAAAACACAGCTGTCAAACTTGCTAAGGGACAGGACAGAAATACACAGAAGGGTAAGGAGAAAAGAAGCAGCTAGACAAAGAGTTCAGATTTGTCTTTTTTATAATTGTCTAAATTATATCACTTTAGGACAAGAGAATAGGACCAGCAGATATCCAGAGCTGTCTTTTTTAGTTAAATTCAGCCAGAATTTGGATTTCGTGGCAGCAAGAGAAGGGGTCTCCCAATGTCAGAGCAGGAAGGCAAGGCTGTACGTGGATGTTCTTCAATTGTAAGAGGCTAACAGCACCTTAATCATCATCTGATTAATCATCATCTAATTGCTTATGGATGCATATGGATTTGCTTCCAAATTGCACTTCTAGAAACTCTGCTCCTGGAACTACATGAAGTGTTATGAGTAATAGCTTACAATAGGGAACTAAGGGCAGAAATCCAACAAAGCAGAAAATTGAGGGGAGTTTTGCTAAATGCACCTTTGGTTCACAAAGTGGGGTGGATACTGCTCTTAAACACTGCTTTCTGCCAAAAAATAAAGAGAGTGAAACTGAGATGAAAAGGGGTGTCTCCCACAGAAAAACTTCCACATTTAGTTCTCTTGCTGTATGACTGCACCAGTACAATTCTGACTAAATGTACAGGGACAGCGAGGTGGGCAATACAAGACTCCCCTGCACAAACCCAGCAGCCCGCAGGTGGCACAGGGCAAGGCTCAGCTCCTCCTGCCCTCGGCCAACCTGCCCTGCTAAAGGCCATTATATCCACAATGTATTTTCTTTTCTTCCATTAGTAAGAATATTGCCAGCACGAATTATGTACTGCATTCCTCAAAAACTGAACTCTTACCAATTTCAGTGTGACCTGGAACCATTTCAGATAGATTATACCAAAGATTAACCTGTCTAAAACACGAATATAAAATAAAATTCAAGAGAATTGCATGTTGCCTGAATAGGAGCATATAAAATAGCCCTGCTCAGAGCTTCACAGCCAGAAGTGGATGAGACAATGAATTTCCTGCTGTCACTGGCATTAAAGCAGTAGGTCTTGTTATGTTTTCCAGCCAAATTGATTTGTTTTTATGCATTATCACACTGTGCATGATGTGCACTGCGAGAAAGAGATTGCTTCTTTCAGAGCACAGATTCCTGTCTAGTATGAACTGATCTAAGTTCGGTGAAATAGGTGGGACTACATTTGGTAGCTAACTGTGAAGTTGTCAGACAGAAAATGAACAGAGCACCGAGCATGTTCTTCTTCACTTTGTTTCTGTGTTCTTTTCTTCAGAATACGACTTCACCTTGTTTACTTTCTAACACACTCTATCAATTTCTTCTTGGCATCAGTGCTGACTGTTGTTGGGGGTCAGATACAGAGGGCTGGTATTTGGCACCCACAGATACAGATGGGAGGAAGATTTGATACTATGCTGACAATAATGTGTCGCTTTTCCAATGATGAATGATGCAAGTATCAAAGCAAAAAAAATAGAGGAAATATATTATTTTATTTCATGGCCTCTCAATGAAGTGACATAATCATCAATTAGCTGATGCACAGTGGTTCTGCAGATCTTGGTGCAGCCCAAAACAACACTGCATGAAATACTTGTTTCAGAAATCCATGGGTTACTTGCATGCCTGAAATACATTCTGAGGTCAGAGGCTCAATGGGGAGGAAATCTGACAGTCACTACAGTTTTCATAGTGGAAAATTGCTGTTTTTTAGGAAGAAGTTTCTGTTTCTCAGCAGAAAAGCTGGCTGTATTTTGTTTAAAATGAATAAGGCACCAAAGGAAATAATGTCTTGTGATACAAAACCTGACAGACTTCTCAGGACAGTTCAGTCTATGCTTTTGGCCACCTGTTAGTGGCAGCCACTTTCATTAACAGTTGACAGACTTGTAGACACCCCCCTTATTTCTTGTCTCCCTCCTACTTTATTGAGTCTCCGTGTGACAACCAGCCACCTGTAAAGCAAAGGCTGACTACCCACTGGTTTGATGCCACATCTGTAACACTTGCTGGGTTATTCAACAGCTATTCTGGGAAAGCAGCTGTGGCTCAACCAGGAGATGCTGAGCTGCTGCCAAAACTGGGAAACAGGGCTGACTACCAGGATGCAGGCAAAGAGGCTGACAGAGATGCTGATGAGGAGAAATGTGCCAGAGGAAAATACTGAGTCCAGAAGACCACAGGTATTGTTCTTAAAGAGGACAGCAGAGGGAACAGCAGGAAATTAATCACTGGAGGAGGCTTTTCTTCCTATGGCTGTGTGCAGAGAACGGGAATACTAAAAAATTCCCAAATTTCAACCTTTAAATCTTGCCAGGAAGAGTAACTGGAGTATGCACACTCTGTGGGCCAGACTTCATGACAAGCATTTGTACATTAAGGAGTGATTTGCAATCAGTGTACGAGCCACAGGCCTTGGCATTAATAAGCATTAGTAAGTGGAGTGAGATGCTTCTCCATGGATGGCTTCAAGTGATACTTTGAAGAGTGCTGTTGTAGTAGAGCAATTAGTTCAGAACAAGTCACTGGAGAGACAAGAGGAAAAGCTGAGAATGGGTGGCTGAGGAGCTAGTGGGAGAGTGGCTCTGAAATCACCCCATCTATGAAGGATGAGGGCCTTTAGTCATGGGGAAACTTCTGTGACCACAAGGCTGCCCAACACCCACCTGCTAAAGGTACAAGCTGAGCATTGCATGGAGTGTACATAAATTAAGACGCTTAGTGCCATATATTTTTTTCTTCATTGAAAACCATGAGGAAGCAGGGAAAGGAAGAGACTTGTAGTAAGTTTTCCTACTCATAAAGAGGGCTGTTGATGTGTGAGAAGGATGTCAGGAATAAAATGGGGTCTGAGGCAGAAGGTACAGACCACATCCTAGAGGCACTTCTATCATGCATGCTAGAAAGGAAAAAGCTTTGTGCAATGTGAGGATCCAGAGCCTTGGGCTCTCTCCTGAATGAGGGCACTTCTGTCTGGGAACTGAACCAAGTTTGGCCAATTCTTCTAAAATGCTCTTTTGGAATCCTTTGGAATATTTTGTGCAAATAGTCTAATGGTTGAAGCACTGATCCACAGAGAGGGACACCTGAGTGAAAGGCAGTCCTGCAGATGAGGGTCTCAGCTTCTCAGTCTGCTGTCCCCAGGTGCTCCAATGATGAGCCATGAGCATGACCCTGCTCCAAGACTCCTCCTTGAAAGCAATGACAATGTACAGAATGTACAGAATATACATTCTGTACAATGCACAGAAAAGAGGCCAAGTCTTGTGAAGAAAGGGCTAAAAAAGACAAGACCTTGTGATTTGGTGCCCATTGTCTGTCTCAGGGGTGTAAATTGCTGTAAAGATTTGTTGGGTTGGTCTCAGGGTATTTCCACAGGAAGTTGATAGTGATCTTGCCATATGAGCTCACTTTCCAAGCAGAGGATTCCTGAGCAAACAGTTTTCCTTCAATCCATCCTGTCCAATGCCTACTTCCACTAGAAAGAGGGGTGTTCCTTCAGCAAAGATTGAATGGAGGTCAGACTGGGTCTGGCGCTGGAAATTTGAAACTTGCTGTGTGAATTCTGTAATTATGGACAGCTTGATTTATGAAGAACAGTAATAACAATCAATCTGGCTGTAAATTGAATTCAGCAAAATGTGTACAGGGTTCGATCCAACCTGGAAACTCCTCACTTTCTAAACAAGCAATAAGCTCAAGAAAATCAACAATTTTAGCTAATAGTGTTGGATAATTAACTCACAGCTCTGTAATAGTCTGTTTCCTTCATTTCCAGTTGGGCAAATATATTTTGGGTTAAGCTTGTTGAAAATTTTCAGATTTATGCAATCTCCCTCCCAAATGTTTATTTCACAGGTTTTAACTGCAGTTGGTGAATCGTGACTATGTGGAATTTAGCACACTGTGGCATCAAGCACTACCTATAAGCAACATGTCCTGAGCATGGAACACACAATTGTTTCTCTTCAAACTGTACTCTTTTCCAGAGTTAAACTTGTGTCTAATATTTCCTCGTGTCTAATATTTCCTCATGTCTATTTAGAAATGCTTTCATTGATTTTTCATTTTTCATTTTAAACATCCTTCAGTTACTTCTCTCAGTCTGCTTCTAGTATTTGTATAAAGAATTCAGCTAAGAACTGAAACTCATAGATTGAAAGGACATGATTTTTGCTTATCTTCTTTCATAAAATTATATTTTACAATAAAAAATGAACAAAGATCATACTGATACATATTTCAAGCACATAAGTATCTTCTCTTCATTATAAATACTTAGAATGAGGTGCTAAGAATATTTTGATGTTGTAATTCAGAAGCTGACATTTTAATAAACTAGGTTCCATAAATCCATGGGTTGTATTTACATAAATATAAATACATATGAGATATTTTAAAAATGAAAATATGGAAATTACAGAACCCAAAAGCTTGATGTGTTTTAATTTCAACCAAACTTTCTGAGATTTCACAGTGCTGCAAAAATGCCACTGGATCGAGCACATCTACTCAATGCCACGAACATTCTGAAGACATTCTTTGGAAGATAAAATGATAAAAAGAAATACTGTACCAGTTGGATCGAAGTCTGGAAAATAATCAGGACAATTCTGAGCCGTGAGCCTTCCAGCAGGTGTGTCATCCCAGCACAACCAGCCATCCCATGTTCGGTTGCAGAACAGACCTGGTCATTTAAGAGGATTGCAAGAGTTAATTCCACAAAAAAGTCCCTCCCGAACCACTGTGTTCTAGCCCCTCGAGGAATATTGCTGTCTGCAATCAAGTTTTATTTTGTTATTGTTCCACTTAGAGTTGCATTCAGGTGCTACAAGGTACTTGGTTTTGCTGGCCTGATGTTAGTGGTGTTCATTTTACCAGAAAGTTACATTTCAAAGCACCTTGAACTGAACTTTGAATGTAGGTTCCAATCCTACAAATTTCTCTCCTTAATCCTCTTTCTGCTAGCTCTTAGCATTAGCAGTACCCAAAGACCTGTGAGACACCCACTTTTCATTTCACCTTTTGCTGCTCAGTAGGTCTGAAAATCAGGAGTTCAAAATGTAAAGGTAGGAAGCATTTGTGGAGACATCCCAGCTCAAAGCAATATTTGCAGAGACAGGTCCCTGTAAAGATGTTGCCTTGCCCAACACCAGAGATTGGTGCTGTAACTACAAATGCAGTGAGGCAGGTGCAAGACTGGTCTGTAACAGGCAGATGCTGCCTGCTGATGCTGTCTAGGCAGGCATGCTGTGACCCTGTCCTCGTCGTGCCCCTTCTGGGAAGGTGATGCTGTTGAGGCTGTGGGATGTTCCCAGCCCCCAAACTCAGCAATGCCAGGAGGCAGAACACAGCTCAGTGCAGAGATTGCCATGGTCCTCAGAAATTGTGTTCTAAGACTGCTCGCTGTAACGTGTAACATGACTCGCTGTGGATTTATACAAGAAACACATCAAACCCCCCCTACACTTCCCGATTACTCTCCATTCAAAACCAGTTTGTGCTGGGGAAAAAATATTTATCACCAAGACCATCAGGTTAAAGTGAAATAGAATAAGATATATCTTAGCTTCTTTTTTACTCTAATGGAGGTTGTTTTTGAAAATATTGTAATAGAAGGCACCTAATAGTGACTAAAAGTTATTAACATATGGGTAGTTAGTTGCTTCAAAATTTTTTGAAACCATCCACAAATAAACTTTCTTACTGAAGCAAGAAGCTGTTAAAAGACATCTGAATTGTTCCAATTTGCACCAATAACTGTTTGTAAGTCAAGTAGTTGTTGATTAAAAATAAAAAGCATAAAAATTTCAAAATTAATTTTTTCAAAATTAGATCTTGCTCACAAAAGAAATTACTTCATTAGCTAAGATTTTATGCACGTGTATTTTTCAGTTATCAAGTTGCTTGTTCACTTAGTTAACCAATCATCATATCAGCAGTTTGTTATCTTTCCTTCAGGCATTGTCATGTTCTTCTGTATCTTTGAAATGTATCTGAAAAACTTTTAGGAATATTTTTGTAATATCAAATAAAAATATGAGTAGAAAATGATTGCAACTTGAGCTTGTTTTTGAAAAGTAGTGCTAAATGGAGTTGGAGGGAATATCTAGTTTTAAAACTTTAAATTATTTGCCTGGCCTGATAAAGAAAAAAAAATCACGTAGGGCAATCTGTACACCATGGTCTTGTCTTCCAAGGTAATTATCAGGACATATATATATACATGCACTCATTTATCTATATCTATCTATGTATGTATACACACACACACACATATATATATATATATACACGTACACTGTGCTGTTCTGGAGGGGTAGTCATGTGTTTCCATGTGCCTGAGCTCCTTATTTTATTATGTCTTCAGAACACAGCTTCAGTGATGCTGGCACCATTCTGTACTCACCCATTATCTTTATTCTGAGTTATAAATAAATTAAGTACATGTTGCTATGAACTAATAGCCCCCAATGGCTTCACTTAAATCTAGCTGCCAGCTGAAGGAATGCAGGCACTTCCCTGTTGTTCTCCTGAAACAACGCTGCCCTTGAGAACACTGCTAGGAATTCATGCCTTGATACATATGAATTCCCAGCTCATGCTGGAAAATCTGCCCTTTGCAACTTATCACACAAGCAAAGTGCAAAAGAAAGGTGAATCCAGTGGTTACTTTCAATGGATGCAGAAATTAGGAGTTTCTAGAGCTGGAGAGTAAAAGAATAATCTAACAAGAAACCTGCAACTCTAGCAACTAAAAGGCTTATTTATGCCTGAAATATCATTCCTTCTACCCAATAACCCTGTTTAACTGCTCATGGGTATTCCCCATTATTCACCTGAATTAAAACCTGTTTTAAGTGGTGGGAATCTCTATATTAATTCCCAAATATTTCTGCATCAAGACCTAATTATCTTAACATCTAACTCTTCTTTGAATCTTATAGAGCCCAGTAAAATTTTTAAGATAAAGAGCCGTAGAAATGTCTTCATTCTTGTATTACAAAAAATTCCACATTATCTCAAACATTGTGATTAGGTTGGGTGGTTTTTTTAATTGTTTAAAATATATTTTCTCTTCAAAATGTGTCCTCAGTATCTGTTGTTTACTTGCATAAGTCTCACACTACCTGTGATATTTTTTTCTCTAGCTCTTATATCTTCATTCATATCTTCTGAGAAAAAGTGACCAGAACTCTCAGTCCCAAACAGAAATGCTGCTTTATATTATGCAATTGCAGCACCACTATTATTTGTAATTTTCCTTTTTATTAACCTTCATATATGCCTTATATTCAGTAAAGACGTTTTATAAACCTCTTTTATAAACCTCAATATTTTCCAAATCTCTTTTTCCTATTGTTGCTGCTGAATTTAGAATACATGGAACTTGTGCTGGCACAGAGCATGACACCCAGCAGTCAATTACAAATGGCACAAAATTGAAACAGTGATTGGAGCAAACAGAACACTATTTCTATTTAAGATTCATGATCAGATGTGAGCTTGCTGAGAGGTTCAGGAAAATGCTACTCCCCAAGAAAGAACAACAGAGATTTAAGCAGCAAAACATTGATCCAGAAATGTAGGTGACAGAGCTGTTAATTCCCTGGATTCCTTCCAGGCTTTTTCCTCTCTTTGCACTTAGGAGGATGCTAAGTAAGTGAATTTGATTACTGCTTGTGGAAAGGAAACTGCACCCTGAGGAAGACTATGGGTTAGTATAGAGAAGAAAATATTTCTTTATAGTTATATAACCACACATGGAAAAATATAGATTTTTAAAAACCCCTTTTTACCTTTTTTCTTGTATGGAGGAGCTCTGTTCATCCTCTCATAACATTTGAACTGCGAATCTATGATCTTCTGCCTTATGACTGAATTTTCAGTTACAACAGGCTCTAATGTAGGATCAGTATAATTTACAGTAGAAGAAAGACTTGGAACAATTCTCTGTATGGAAAGGAAAAGCTGTTAGTACAACTGAATAAACAAAGAGGATTAAATTAAAAAAAAAAAAAAAGAGAACAAGAAATTTCTATTATGCATTCCTGAAAGACCTTTTATTTGCACATACGTTTATCATTATGATGGGCCTCGTACTACTTACAAAGTAAATGCTGAATTTTATTTGTTTACCTCATGAAAACATAAGACTTTAACCAAGCCATTTTTCTTGGTGAAGAGGTCATTAAATGTTTGATAGTCTTCAAAATCTTTTCATTTAATTTAGTGTCTGCAAGAGAATTTTCTATCTTCCCAAAATTACACCCATGTATTTCTGCTCAGTTGTGCTGATTTAACTAGACAGTGCAGACAAAATACCTCACTGCCACAGCCTTTGCTTTGAACTGATTATTTCATGTTTTATGCCACCTGCTTTGAGCTTCTGCAACTGTTAAGGTCATAGAAACAGAGTAGAGTTTAAACCTCGATACCTGACATTAGGTCTAATTAAGTACCTAAGCAGACTCCCTGAATTTGATAGTCTAAATAGCAAGGTCTTTGATCTAGTGGCATCTTCTGAATTTTCCCATTCTGAGCTGCCTGCCAGTTAAAGGAAAGGATCATTACCTCTGGAAGGCAGAGATCTCAGCTGGAGAGGTCAGTTATGCCATCCATCCATCCATCCATCCATCCATCCATCCATCCATCCATCCATCCATCCATCCATCCCTCCATGCATCCATGCATCCATGCATCCATCCATCCATCCATCCATCCATCCATCCATCCATCCATCCATCCACCCCTCCTTCCCTCCCTCCCTTGTACAGCTGAAGTCTGTGAGCAGAAATGAAAGCATGGTGCTTTAGTTTGTTCTCTTCTGCCTCAATCCTGTATCATGACTCTTCTCTGCTTGAAGGTGATAGTAAAACATGAGTTCCTCTCATCAAAAAAAGCAACATTGCTGTAGCACTTTCCTAGCATGACCTTCTATTTTCCCCTATACTAAGTGGTACTAAAGCCATCACAAAAGCATTCAGATTCATTTGCAGGCTGTTTCAAAATCTAGGACTCTCATAAACACACAAACTTGACCTTTTTAGCAGCAAATACTAATATAGAGATCTTTAGGCATGCATTTGTATTTGTTTGAACTGAAAACATGACAAGTTTGAAAGTTCAAATATTGGCTTACTTCTTAAATTTTGCTGCCCCCTTTTTATTTCACATCACAGGCAATTGTATTCCATCAATACATTCCCTTTTACCCCCATTTTCACACAAGACACCTTTGTAAAATACATGGCAAAACCACAGTGTGTTTGACTTCATTGAAGAAAAAAGCCATTACTTTTATCCTGTGCCAAACTATGTCAGTTTAATCTTTTTTTACTCTTATATCAAATCAATTATGTTTTTCTAATCTCATCTCATCTCATCTCATCTCATCTCATCTCATCTCATCCCACACTTTTGACACAGACATTTCAATGTATACACCTGCTAGCTGGAGGACATGGAGGCAGTCAATCTTGTACTTCAGTAGGTGCTTGAAATAAAATAGGAGGAATAAGAATGAAAATATTTTCTGGAAGAGATAATTTTGTAAAAATTGTAGATGTATGTATACATCACACACAATTCCCGCCCCCCAAAGATATACTTGGACAATGAAGCCATTTGGAACATTTCATCTGGCCATCCAAGTGAAAAATTAGTTATCTTGAAAGTCAGAACAGGAAATACAGAAGCAAAGCCAAACATCACAGATCTCTTAGTTTTAAAAAGTCTAAGGGGAGCAGCTGGAGTCCCCAGGAATCATTTAAAAACCAGCCAAGCAAAATCCTAAATCCAGCACAGAAAAGTGCAAATGAAGTTCTTTAGGCAACCTCAGCTTTGTCTTAGCCCTCCATGTCCATGACAGGCTCTGGTGTTTCTCTGAAGTGATTAATAGATACTGCACGCTAATTTTTCCCATTCTTACTTTGAATAATTCCTCAGTTCCAAGCTGTTTGTATTAAAGACAGAAATAACAGGTTCATCACAGGAAGCTAGAAGGACTTCTGTGGCAATGCCTTTCTTCTTGATAATTTCTCTGAGATTCTGGGCCAGTTTGGGAACAGATCCACGTGTGGAATGATGATTTTGAGGGGTGAAATACAATTCGGACACTAAAGTCACCTTACTCTTATAGAGATAGTTTCCTGAAGAAGTCAGCTCTTATTAAGTACAGTTTAAGGAGAATATTTTGATACTTGAAGGTAGAGAGTACCTGTGGTGGTGGAAAGATTAAATGTCTTGGATTGGGTACAAAATTATGTATGAGTGCTCAGCCATGTGACCAGGAGGCCAATTCCACTGCCTTGCACAAGGCAATTGTGGAGGAGCTGAAATTACCGGCAAAGTTTCTACTGCCTACATTTAGGCCAGGAATCACTCAGGTCAATTAAAAATATGGATGAGTTGTGTCACTAAAATTCATCAGTGGAAATCACTTAATGGCCTCCAGTAAAATGAAATCAAGTTTGGATAAAAATAGAATAATAACACTAGATTTATAATTGTCTCTTAAATGATTTTCTAAAAATTATTATTTGAACTTTTTCCTCTTTTTTTCTTCTTTCTACTAAACACAATGACTCATGTTTTCAAAGTAGTTGCCCAAAAAATCTTTCCGGGCACTTTTAATGTAATTGAATAACTTGTGTGTGAAATCAAATTAAGGGGTTATACATAGGTATGTCACTGGGATTGTTCATCTGTGATATGCCCTTTAAATCTACTCTTTCCACTGATTGCTATTCCTCGTTTTTGTTTGCCTAGATTTGAAAAGGTGGCCTTGGAAGCTTGAACACAATTTTCTTCTGCCTTAAAATCAGATTACCACTTCAGCAGATAAATGAAATATTAATTTTGTGGTTTGCTGGAGGTGGAGAAGTCATACTGTTTGAAATACTGGCTTTTTACCATGCACTAGAGAATCCTGTGTTCACCACCCAGACCATAAAGCCTGTCCTCCCAAAGTCAGACCAGTGGGCTGATGATCCAGCCTTCATATACCTGCAGTTCAGACAGACAAGAATTTTGATGCAGTTTGTGATGTCAGATGTTATTATTTGTTTTAGTCTTCCTCACTCCTTACTGTAGGGGTCAGAAAAAGGCAAAGGTGGCAGGAAGACATCTCTAGTTCATTATTCTCTTTTCAGAAATAGCAGGAGTTTGGTTATGGCTACATGGGAGGGAAAGCTTAGTGTGTATCATGTTAATGGGAGAGGCTGGGAATATCCCATGAATATCTGTGTATCAGTGTTTGTATAAGCTCTCATGGAATTCATAATTTTGACTCACCTCTGCTACTATGTTTTAATTGTTATGTCAATGTATTTTAGAAATTAAGACTTTAAAGACACATTTGTACCACAAAAAAAGCCAAGGTCAATTTATCTTCACCTGGCAACTACCTACAAATATTGAATCTACAAAATGTGGAACAAATTTTTAATGTTTTGAACCCATTACTACATATTAAAAAGCCTCCCTCATCCATTCATCAGATACTTCAGATGGAAATATAGATGATGTTTATACAATAAAGAAATGCCTCATTCATTTATAAATATTCTTTATTAAGGACAAATAAATAATTCACAATAATCAATGTGATCATTGCTTGAAAATGCACTGAATTCTTCAGACAACAGTTTAAGTGATGTCCCATGCAGCAGTTTAGCAGCCGTACATATGATGTCACTCCTAAAAGTCCAAGTAAATGACGTCATACATACGACCACCAAGCCACCACGTGACAAATTACTGATACAAGAAAGTGAATTATCATTACAAAAAGAAATAACAGGCTGCTGGGAATGCTGAAGTTCACTTTATACCTAGAATGAATAAAGGATCCTGAGAAAGCAATTTGGCTTCATTATTTGACTATACAGAAATGAACAAACCGTGCCCTGGTTTCTGTAAGAGAAACTGCTGTTAACCTGTGCAAGACTGTGCTGTTTCTGCAGGGAGAAGCCAGATAAAGTAAGCATAAAATTCTTTTACTTTTTTTCCCCACAAATATTTGACATGATGAACAAGCACCTCCCAAATATTTTTCTTCGGCCATCAAGGAGCTTGCAGGACACTAACAGTAACTGTACATGACATTTAGGAAAAGAAGGCATTTGTAACTGTCGTTTTTCCCCCCTTCCTTCAACTAAATATAGTAATTGGGCAACAATTATTGATGAGCTCAGACTAGTAGAAATTCTGGGCGCTCTAACTGTTAGTTATTGATTTCAACAGCTCAAACATTCACTTGGTATAATTCTTTTAAAACTGCTGAGTGCAGTCATCTCTTTGTGGATCACTAAATTGTACTTCAATACATCACATTTTAGAGCAAGAGCTCAGCATGATTTAGATGAGTTGCAGAGCCCCTCTCACACTTTGATTATGTTTGAACTACTTTTCACAACTGCTAGTGTTGGGACAGATAAGCAAACAACTGTGATAGCTTAGGAAGGGCATTAGCATACAGTATTCAGTAAACATAATAATTTCCATCCATCACAAGTGTGCTAGCAAGCAGCAGGCAATTTCTTTGGGGAAATACTACAACATGATATGTTTTACTTAATCACTGAATGTTAGAATTTTCCCATACTCTACCTCTGTTGGAGCAGGATGGTGATTATCTCAGTGAGATCCCATATGACTAACATGGCAGAATTTGGCAGCTGTTTAAACAAGCATGAGATTATCAGGTGCAGTAGATGAGGACAAGGTTGTTGTAATGAAAAGCAAGTCACAAATCTTACAGTTCTTTTCTATTTCCACAAGATATGCTTACATGAAGAAGCATTATTTTCATTTTAGCCTGATAAAAACTGTGGGCTAATCCAGAATACTTCACGGATATTTTCTTGCAGCCCTGATTATCCTCTTGTGAGAGGCCTCTTTACTGCAATCAGCTGCATAGCAACAGCCTTGTTTTTTTTTAAAAAGTAAAGATGTAGTCAAAATGTCCTGATCATCCCTGAAACTGGGTGAATAGAACAGAATACAGAATTCCTATTTCTTGGGAAATGATGAGCAGCTTGACTCTCAAATTCTCACTCTAATTCTTACCACCTTAAAGCATCAGAAATTTGCTTTCCAGAGCTTCCCTTGTGTGAGAACAGGCTCAGAACATGTCAGTGTACATACTTACAGCATGAAGCAACCCATAAATAGTTACACAGGGAAGTGTGCATACAGAATAGCAGCTTCCAAAGGCATGATTTAGGGTGATAAGACCCAGGGACATCTCATCATCCAAGGCTGGGGAAGAACCTGGGCTGCCAGAGGTGCCAGACAGCAAGAAGGTTCAGAAGAAGAAAGACAAAGGGGATCTTCAGAAGTTCTTCTGGCCCATGGGAGATCTGCTCTGGACCAGGTGCTGGAAGAGATGCTGTCTAAGCAGGAAAAGGTTTGTTCTCACAGTACCTGCACAGGCGTGGGTTTCAGAGATGCACAGTGAGAGACACTGAGCTGAGCAGGAGCAGGAGCCCAGCAGAGTTTGTGGCCACACCACTCCACCAGTGCTTGTTGCCCTCCCAGCTGTGAGGATCCAACAGGTGCATCATGGGCAGCTCCCCCATCACAGTGGCAAGTGCTTGACTTGGGTTCTGGAGCCTTGAACCTACCCTACCACAATTGTATTCCAAAACACACCAGTTTGTACAGCTACTGAAAATTACATTTAGGTTTTCATATAATACATTTTCAATGTTTTGTGAACAGGAATTTTTCATGAGTCTTTCAGGAGTTAGAAAGCAGTACCAGACTACATATCTTTGTGACTGAGGCTTGGTAACAATTTAGCATATTGGGGCTTAGTGAACGTGCACATTTTGTTTTTTGGTCAGAATGAATTTATTTTAAAATACAATATTAGTCTAGTGGGCCTAATTGAAAGTAGTGTGGCCTTCAGCTGCAGCATCCATTTAGTCCTTACTATGCATGTTGTGGTTGGCTCAGGACACAAAATTGGAGTATGTGGGAAAAACTACTTCATCAATCCTCATTTCCAAGGCCATTTGTAGGCACAGTTCTTACTTGACAAAATAAAGCAGACAATGCAAATCTCTTCTGTCAATGTCCTGAAAAATTGATTGGTCACACAGGAAAGAGACCCAAACCTTCTTCTTTCTCACTCTCAGCAGTTTGATGCTGCTGGGCACACTGTGTTGATGCTCCATCTTTCTTGTGAAGAAAAATGTGCACTGAGGATATGAACTAATTGCTCCAGCACACCAGGGCTCACGTACTTGAGGAAACAAATCTCGACCACATTCTGTGGCTCTTAATAATTGCAAAAAACTAGAAAGCATCAGTATATGACATAATGAACAATTAAACTTTCTAATTAAATTCCCTTTGTATAGTAGAGGACTATATGGTGATGCATTATTGTGCTTCCAAAAGCAAGGGAACTCATCAAAGAGGAAGGCAATAAGGAGTTGCTTTTATTTCCAAATTAAGTTTTGGAACAACTGCCACTTCAGGTTTTGTTTGGCAAAGACAAGTTATTATGGATCTATATGTGGAAGTGCTATTTACTCTGTACAAAAAAAATTAAATGCACAAAAGAGATGGTTTCTATCAGAAGGTACCAAAACCCCTTGGTGACAAATCTAAAGGAGGTGGTGGGAGAAGTGTGTATGCACACCAAGTAAGTAGAGTCTGTGACAAAAAAATGAAGGAGGCATACGAAAAGAATCTGAGGAAGTCTTCTGCAAAGCACTAACACTGTATAGAGGGCAGAGTGTGCTCCAGCTCTGAGATTGTGTTAGGGAATCATTGCTACACTAAGAAAAGAGATTTCAGGTAAAAGTCTCCCCTGCTCACCAGCTGACCACCAGGTGGTCAGGGGTGACCACCACAGGGGAACCACCAGCACCTACAGTGGGCCAAACAGTGCAAGCAGAGAGCCTGGAGCCCAGAGAAGAAAACAAGGAGCTCAAAGGGTTGTGCTGCTTTGCAACAGCTCACAGTGACCAACTGGGAGTGCAGGTCACAAATGAGAGAGTGACAGAAAACCATCAAAATCTTCAAAGAAGGGAGATCTAGAGGGTGTCTTATGGGGTGGGTAGAAGAGAGGGATGGGAGGTCACTCCTGCCTGTGTCACAAATCACCTTACTTATTGTACTTTCCTCAGCCTCAGACAGTGGCTGACATGTTTCACAGTTCTTGGAATGAAGGAGTGATTTGAAGAACCAACAGAGCGGGAGCAGCCTTTTTGAAAGAGAGACACCCTTTACTTGTTGCAAACCATAAATAAATTACAAAAAATGAATGGCTTCTACCATCTACAGATGGGGAAATTTTTGGAAAAATGACTGAGGCAAAATATTTTTTATATTTGATCTTACAGCAGTATTCTGGATAAGTTTCATGAAGGAAACAAAGCTTGTTCGTGGTTCTACTTCTGTGACCATGGCTTCTTTCCTACTGACCGTGGCTTCTTTCCTACTGAAAGGGAAGTTAACTTAAGAGATGTTAAAGTAGAGCACAGTATGCCCACTGCAGTGGAGAAAGAAGGCACACAGAGATTGGAATTGTGAAAATGTAAGTTAAATTATCCATTGAGGTCGGAATATGAAGAGGCCTTTGGTGCAAAGGTATTTAAAGTGAATGCAGATGCAGATCTCACTGAAGGGTTTTTAAAATAAATCCTAGCCCTGGAGTGCTGCAGGAATGAGCACAGAACTGACACTGCACACATGCTCTTGTGGGTGAGAGATTTAAAAGGTCTGGGAACAACAGGGCAAGGATCAGTCCTTCAGGGCTGACCTACAAACCCATGCTGTAGGGCAAAGCACCTCAAGTGCTCAGAAGTGCTGTTGATAATTTTAGTTATCAGAATATTTACAGTTCTGTCTCTTGACTGGGAGCAAAATAAGCTGGATCTGCTTCTTCTTTTGGCATTGGCTTTTAATAGGAAGAATTGATGTTCTTTGTCAAGACCCCTAGCCAGCTAGGCAGATCGGATGGGATTCAAACCAGAAGGAAGCTGGTCTCTCTCAGGCTCTTTGTTACAGACATCTCTGACCATGAGTGATTTCATAGCCAGTGCATTGCCACATGCAGCCTTGTAGGATAGGTAGAACAGCCAACCCAAATGGTCACAAATGCCAGAATAGTCCAGTGCAGAAGACTTCTCTCAAGCACGGAGATGATTCCTCAAGTCATTAACTAATTCTGGACAAATGTTTGGAACCACAATTACTCAACCATGTTGCATACATTAAAATAAATATAATGTTGATATGAAACAGTTGAAAATAGCATTTGAACTAATAAATTGATTTATACTATTATTTTTGATTTTGGCTGCTTTCCTAATAGCAGATCAACTATAAACAGTGAAAATCCATCGCTACTTCAGTCAGTTTGTCTCACAGAGCAATATTAAGGGCAGTTTTCAAACACATATGTTTCCATTATATGTTGTAGCCTGTAAAACACAGAAATGAAGGGTCACATGCATAACCTTCTTCATACTTGCAGTTCTGTCTCATGAAGAAACAATGCTTTCAAGTTCAAACTTTTATTAGATAATCTTATTAATCTTCTTTCAAAATTTATTAGTAAGGAAACTTTCCTTCGCCTGTGCAGTGTAACAAGTATAACTTGGTACTCATTTTTCTCAACGTTACCACAAGTTTAAATATGGCAGGTGTCATGAGCAGTTCAGTTTTCTTGTACTTACAGTTAGAAGGATGATGAGTAAGAAGCAACTCTGGGTTGTTTTTTTCATTGTGGAGTCTTCTTGGAGAGACACGTTGTGGATGACCCTTCTGGGAATTAAACAAACAAAAAAAGCATTATTGGACTTTTCCTGTTATGATAAATTCCTTGTCTGTGTACGAGTATATTTTTAGACTTAGACTGGACTCTGTGTGTGTGGTTGTTTGAGCCCCCCTCGTGCCTTACAGCTCAAGTTTGATCTAGTTGGAGGTTGGTATGCTTTCAATTTAGTCTCCTCTGTGAATCTCTGCTGGTGAGTACAGATGATGTGGGGTACAGCTCCATGTTATGGGGTCACCAGCAGCAAATCACAGTTAAGCCCTGTGTCTTTGCCAGCTGAGGTTGTCCTTTTTCAGCTGCTTCTAACCTAATAGAGAGCTGCAGACCTATGAAGAATCTGGTATTTCAAAACTGAGTTGCAAAACCCAGAAAGATCCAGTATGCAAATAAGTGTAATAGCAGCTCAAAAGACATGTTTATGGGGCTAGGGAAAGCCAGAGTTTGAGTAATCTCTAGCTAGGAGAACAAGCACATGTGGCAGGAAAAGAGAAACACCGTGGGATTACATGCTCCATAATGCAGCTGGGTGGCTGGGCTGTGCATAGACACAGCAGTGTGAGCCTCAGGCCATGAGCATGACTGCTTCAGCACAAAGTACTGGGGCTACAGAGCATGGACACGACTCCACAGGTTTGAAGGGAACTGGATCAGCAACTTTTTGGTTTTCTGAGTTTTTCCGCATCAACACTTATCCAGCCTACCAGGCAAAAATATCCAGGGGCCACCAGGTATAATTTTATTGCTTCACAGTTGTGGGAGTTCAAGCAAGCAAAGCTTTTTGCATTAACACATAATTTTAAGTTTTATAGAAATGTAAGTTCTGAATTAAAGTGAGAAATGCAGTTTTTGTCAAAACACATTGTGCCTTCTGACATCTCACAGACCACTCGTGCTGTATGTGCTGAGCAGCACAGGACACGGGGCTGTGATCACCCTCAGTCACAGTAACATAGCGAGCACTCACACAACTTCATCCTTCAGACAGCTTAAAAACTGGAAGTTAGGTGTTTTCTGCCTCGACAAACAATCCTGTGAGCACCCTACACATTTGAAACCCATGAACTGAATGGGAAAAAGGCACAGGGACTTGGATGCTTAGTCTATTTGCCATGCAGTGAATAACACAATGACTTATGTAGTATTTGTCTCAGCAACAGCATTATAACAGCTTATCTCATATTTAAATAGTCCGGAAGGGCACCCATTTGCAGAGGGGAAATGAAATATTGTCCTCATCTAAAGCAGAAATACATAATGTCAAAATGTAATAAAGGTGTGACACTTCCACTCCAATGTAGCACGTGATCCAGTGGGATTGTTGCAGTCATGTGTCACTGAGATTACATAAAACATAAAGTGATAGCAAAGAGGGCTCAGAAGATTTGTCTCTAATAGGAAGTAGTCTTATTAGTGTCTGAATCTTCCCAGAACCATTCTGCTGTGACAGAGGTAATGCAACATGCAAATGATACAATAATCATATGTAGTTACACTGTAAGCCACAAACTTGCATTTGATTATTTGAAGTAGACAACTCAATTGAAACAAAAACTAGACATCTAGATCAGAGAAAAATGCCAGGAATTGTCTGCACATTTTCCAGGCTCTTGCCTGGAGTCTGTATTGGTTCAAGCTGACAATAAAGATTAATGAAGAACATATAAACAATGGCTGTTGGACTGTACAGCTGTACAGTGAGCAGATGTACAAGCACGAGTATGGTGTTCATGCAGTTACACACTGTTCTGCAAAGTGTTCTGCAGCGTAGGGATTTACTAGCAAGTAGGCAAAGAGAGCTCTTTGCCTTACAAATTATCAACAGCTTTAAAATACTCAACAGTTTCTACCAATGGCAGAGAGGTTAACACAATACTATGACCTAGAAAGCATAAGTAAAATCAACATCAGCTGAATTTACCTGCTGTATGTCTGCTTTTCCTGCACTTTGTGCCAAGAGTGCCTGCAGCACCATGTGGGGTTACAGCTGGAGATGCAGGTAAATCTTAATCCTCATGAGATTTTGTGAACATTTGTTATTATGTACTGAAAGAGATATTGAAAATGTTTCTTGCTCCTGTTCTCTCCTAATTAATAAAAAAGTCATCTGTAAAATACTTAACACATTATTTTTCCCTGTGTTAACTAAAATGACTGCACCATATGATACTACATATGAGTAAATGAATAAGAATTATTTCCCATGCTGAATCTTAGCTAGTCTATTTATTTCTAGTAATTTTTCTTTTAGCCAGCTGTAACTACAGGAATGGCTGATAAAATGCCACATGCCAGATAAAATCAAGAACCATTTTTGTCTTTTTCACAGAAGCCTTTTTAGCGGCAAAAATTTCAAGAATTGTTGAACAACAGTAATTTAACTATCAAACTATAAAGTCCCTGAGCAAGAAGAGTTTTTTTTCTACTTTAACCATAAGACTGGCTCATAACACTACAGCACAGTTAGGCTGGCATCAGTACTGGGTCAAGGATGATGATGGAAACTAAAAGGTATATGCAAATACAGTGTTGGTCAATGGCAGGGCAGAAATGCCTTCTTCTGGCTTCTCAGGACCACCTGACTTGTGCTAACTCCACAGCAACACTATAGGGCCACAGTATGTAGAGGTCAGGAAATTAGTTTTAGTTTTCAGCTACACAATTTTAAAATCTATTTAAATGAGGTCTTTAATTATTGTATTTTTTTTTTTACAATTATAGATGGAGAAGCAATAATATTTCAAGCTGTTTTAAGAATAGGTATTGCAGATGTTTTAAGATATGCATGAGTTTTTTTCCTGAGATAAGGATTATTTCCATAAACAACAGGAATTATAGATAATGGACCAATATTTCTTGGGATCACTGGAGCTTATATAAGAATGATTATTATGGCAATATAATACAGTTTAAAATTGCACCAAAATTTGTTTCATTGGCTGAAATTTCAAAGCAGGTTTTAGGTGCTGATTCCTGTTCCTAGGATATTTAGCCTTTTCCCCTAAGTCCAACAATGTCATTACTCAATGTTAAGTTAGTATAACATGCTTCATACATTTCAATTTTAAAATATACATATTTAGGGATTAATCATAAGCACATTGCTAAAGCCCAGTACTATTCCATGATCATATTAATTCTTCAGCCCCTGTTGCTTATAATAGTTACATATGACATCCCTGACTGATATTTAAACTAGAATATTGTTCTTTCTTTCTTTACAAATGTAGCATTTATGTAGCTCATTATATGCTAAGGTATTCCTCCTGCTTCAGCTACAATAGTAATACCAATGACACCTTGGGATTATACCTGAAACTTATCTGAGGATGAACACAGCATCCTACTCAGTAATGACATCTCATTTCTCTCTGTCCAGATGTCTACAGGTGCAGTACTGTGCTGATCTGATTCAATTCAATTACAATTACCATTACCATTACCATTACCATTGGGTTTTCCAGAAGGTGGGACAACCCTCCCTGCACAGCCATTTGCACAAGACCAACAAGGGAAGTAAAATTTAATTAGAAAGAATTCCGTGCCAAGTTCTGAAGAAACGAAAGAAAGAAAGAAAGAAAGAAAGAAAGAAAGAAAGAAAGAAAGAAAGAAAGAGAAAGAAAGAAAGAAAGAAAGAAAGAAAGAAAGAAAGAAAGAAAGAAAAAGAAAGAAAGAAAGAAAGAAAGAAAGAAAGAAAGAAAGAAAGAAAGAAAGAAAGAAAGAAATAGAGACTGGAAACAAACTTCTTTAATTATTCTGGTCTGATAAATCTGCAGTGCCATCTTCCTCAAGACTGCTGACATACTTTTGGATAAAGAAATTATTTCAAAAGTGGTTTTCAAAATAGGAATTTGAGGACCTGTGGCTAAGTAGAGAAATGTGATGCAAAATTGTCTTTCTCAGTGTGTTTATTATACTCAGAAACTTTGAAACTTCACTTACAACCTCTCTACTAGGCTTCAAGTTCCTTTGAGAGCTTCCTCTCCACCCCATGCAGCTTTCTCAGGGTGACTAGCTGGGTACACACCTCAAACCACAGGGCTTCTATGTTTTCTTACCTAGACAAGGCTTGCAGACCCTCCTTGTGCCTTGCCACTCAGCACAGAAGGCAGCAAGCTGCTCTCCTGCATTAACACTGGACTGGGACATGCTGGGCAGACACCACTGAGCAAGGCACAGGCAAGCCAGCGGATCCTGCTGCTGAGTGTTGAAGGTGTTTGGATCCAGGGAGGAGGTTGCAGGTCTGCCAAACACACAGACAGTTTTGAGGAAAGTATTAAAATTATCTCCTCATTCCCAGTGGGACAATTTGCCCCCGGGTTCCTAATTTTGGCTACTGCTTTGGGCCGTACATCACACTTCTTACAATCCCAGGTCTCATGCATACCAAAATTGTAGTTATAACCCCATCAAGCACAGGAAATGCCAGGAGTTTAATCCCTATGCCTGAGATGGGAGTAGAGCCAGTCCCTCCCATTCCTCAGCACATTCTCTAGCCATTACCCACAATAGTCTTGAAATGGTTTAAGCAGCACCAGGATCTCCTGGCATTTCCAATAGTAATGGTGATCACTGCTCAGTCATTTCTAATACGCCAGGAAACTGGTGACCATCAGTCCCAGGCAGAGGGACAGGTCTCCTTACAGCCCCTAGTCAAGTGTCCAGGGAGATGAGGCAAGGCAGATGTATTGACTGCCTCCTACTCCTGTACTCCCTGTGGCTTACCTTTGTACTGTACCTCAATGTTTTGTGTAACCTTCTTTTCAGGGAGTCCCCTGAGAAATAAAAATTCCAAATTCTCAGTTTCTGGTGTCAGGCACATAAAGATATTGCAATATTAAAATTGCAGGTATCTAGGACGCTTGCTGCTTTCTCATTCATTTTGCGAGTCTCGGAGACCCAAATGCTAAGTTGTGTGATCACTACTCAGTAGTTATTGTAACAGATCACAGTTTCCATTACCTTGCCTGGTGGA